GAAAAAAGTGAGAAGTCAAGCCACTAGGTCCAGGACTCAGACCATCGTTGGCCATGTGGGAGTCTCAGTATCTTAACCCCATACCACCTGCTGGTCCCAAATAAAATAATTCTTAAAAAAAAATAGTTCTTTGGCACTATAAAATCTGTTACTAAGATTTTATTTACCAAGCTTAGGTTAGGGACTTTCTGGGGACACAATATTTCTATCATTTTCTATTTCCTGACAGAGTAGGATTCAAGACCACTCTCTTGTTCTAGCTATTGTTTTGCCCTTAGTGGTCTCTTTGGGTTTTTCAGATGGCTACTTTGAAGATCTTTTAAAGAGGCCTGAGACTGTCTGCCAGTGACTTTATATTTTTTCTATAGGGCATGTTTGCTCACCAGAAGACAGAGAGAGAGAGAGAGACAGAAAGCGAGAAATCACCCCCTGGGGGGATGACCATGCTGCAATCCCTGCTCCTCCATTTTCCTCTCGGGATCTTGGGCACGCACGCACATGCACCTGGTGTGAGTTTAAGCCACCGAGTCTGGGACTTGAACTCCGATCTACTACGTGGGAGTCCAGCAACATAGCCATTATGCCAACTGCTGGTCCCTTGTCTCTTGATTTGAGAGCATTTTAAATTGCAGAGTCTCTCGACTTCTTTCTCTGGGATGCCTTCCTCCCACTGTGCTAGGTTCATACTCAGGTTATTCGACTGGAATCGAATCCTCTGTGGAGAAAAGAGATTAAAAAATATAATAACAAGGGAGGTCAGCTGCATAGCCCATGTTGAAGGAACCAGATCCCACATGGCCTACTATGGTTTGAACCCTGGTCTGATGGCTCGAAATACATGCTGGGTACATGCATGCAAGCCCCAAATCTTGATAGAGAGGAATAGAGGTAAAAGGATTACAGCCTGATCACGTCCGATGGAGGGTGCTCTCTCTTTCTGTCTCTGTGGTGAGTACAAATGCCCTCTGGCAAAAAAGTAAAAGCAAAAAAGCAAAAAAAAGAGAACATGGTTAAATCTTTTTTTTTGTTTTTAGCCCTGTTTATTATTACTTATATAATAAGAGGGTAGCCCTGGCTTTGGTTGTCCCCCTGAGCCTGGTGTATTTAAAAATGTAAAGAATGTAAAGAATGCTTACTGCCTACTCTCAGAGTATCTTTTAGCCATGAATGCCCTTGTCTCTTCTTAGCTTCCGGGCAGATATGCTTGTGGGAGGAGAGCAGGAGAAGTTAAAGGCAGGGGTTGGAATATGTGTGGTGGTTAGGGATTAATATAGTTTGTTCTCTGTTTCTCTCTCTGAAAGGTTTCTGTTATTTTCTGACTTGGAAAATGAATAAGTAGCATTTGAAACTAAACTCTCTCGCAGGAACAGTGACATGAATCTTAAGGGTTTTGAATAAAAAACCACTTTCTGCTTCTCTGTATGCTCTAATTCTTCTTTTATCCTCCTTCCTAGATATCCAGTTTAAAAAACAATATTGGGCTTAAATACAGGGCTAAAAAACTAGGGTTCACAGCAGAAGAAACATAGTTTCTTTGGTGATAGCGAGTGACTTTCTAGTATAGTCTCATCTGAAGGGTTGAGCCTATAGAATTGGCTATTCTGTTCTCTCTTTCTAGAACTATAAAGGTATTTTGATGATAAAAAGGAAGCAAAGTCTACAGTTGTGGAAAGGTGAAATTTTTCTTATTGATGACTAGGGTTTAGTTAACTTTGCCAGGGAAATAATGATCTTGTTTAATTCCTTTACTCTCAGGAAGACTTAAGCTCTACCTTAAGCTTATTTTACCCCTTTACTCTTTAGGGAGTCTATGGTTCACGTACACTGATGCCAAAGTATGGAGAACTGGTTTCTTCGCAATAAAGGCCAAAGAAAGTATTGTTTGCGGCTACAAAACTAAAATAACTAGTATTTCTTGCAGGGGACAGTGCATGAGTGTGGGCCACCCAGAAACAATGTCCCAACTCTAGGTATGAGAGGGGTTCTTTGCCACCTTCAATGTCCTGTTGGAATTACAAACAGATAAAGCCAAGCCTAGAGCTGGTCACAACTCTGAAGCAATCCCGTTTCACTAATATGAATGAATCTCCACAAAGTTTACGGAAAAGGCACATTATGAAAAACCCATGCATGGATCTCAAAAAAAGAAAAAAAAAAAAAAAAAAAGAAAAAATAAAAATTGCAACAAAATAAATTTGTACTTCAATTTTATTTTCCATAAACTTTTCGAGGTACTCTGAGTCCAGATTTGTTCATTTTACATTTCCTTAACTGGAATACCTTCCCTTTCTTTCCTTTAGTTTGTAACTGTTTTTTTCTAACGTGTGGCTCAAGTTTTACCGATTTAGTTGAGACTTTCGGAGTTTCCAATTCCTAATCTTACGTGATTGTAATTTTATCTGGGATTAGGGGTCATCTGGGTCTCTATTTCATAAATGCAGTCATTAATTAAAGATATTCCATCTTCCTGGGATGCTCTTCTCTGAACTCGTTACATGGCTAAACTAAAATGCCACCTCCACAAGGTGATCTTCTCTCACTATGGAAAATGCAGAAGCCTTTTCCTGATGACAATGTTGAGTGTC